GCCTCCTCTCTGCTCCAGACCAGCCTCGCGCCTTCCCATTAGGTTGCAGCTCTGTTTCACCAGGGCCTTGACACGAGGGAGGCCAGCCCTGAGGCCCTGGGCCTGCAGGCCCTTCTGGGCCTGCTGCGGGTGGGGAGCTGTGCTGAGACGGTTGAAGGTTTACTTGCGTGATAAAATACAAGCCTGCTAAGCGGCATGAAGCACTGAAAGGACTTCCTTCTGCAATACTTTTCCCTACTGCCCCTTGGGCAACGCTGAACAGTCAAGTTGATGCTGTCAGTGCAGCCAGCTGGCCGTCATCTGCCACTGAGGCTGAAAGTCTGTTTCCATATCCTACTGGAGGCAAAGACAAAATCAGAAAGAGGTGGATGACACTAAAATGGCATGCTAAATGTTAAAAAATTACATTGCTTCTTGTTCCTCCCTTGGCACGGGTTGCTGGTGCCAATGGTTTGACCAGATCAGCCTCCTGGGGAGACAGCCGCTGCTCGGGTCTTCCCGGGTGGCACAAGCATCTGCTTTCCACAGAAGATGTGACCCGCGGAGGGCATCCAGCGATGGCTGTTGCATTCCTTCCCAAAAGGGTTGCTACCTTGGTACAGTGCAAGGGATGAGGCTCATCTTCAAAATTTTGAATTGGTTTGCATTAATGAAGCCTGCAATTAGTGTACTAATGTGTACTACACTGATACACTCTTATCTGTGGATACTTAAGTATTTTAAATAACTGTCTTACTCGAGTCAGTTCTTTTAAAAGACCTTCATTCAGTGCCATCTAGTGGTTTTCACAGTGTAAAACAGGTAGCGTTACATCAAAAATTTCATTGCTGAAGTATGTATTTAAAAGTATTTATTTGTATTTAGATGATGAAGAAGGACACTGTTTAGGTTTTGTTTTGCAGAATTTAGCCTAGAGCTATAAACCCCAGCTATTAAAAACAGCGCACGTGTAAATGAAAATTTAGCTGAGCAGCCCCACTGAAGCTGGCCATGGCTGGTTGCCAGCGGCAAAGCAATCTTTCCACTCAGAAATGAAAACGATATCCAGTACAGAAGTTTTCTGGAAATGAGTATTCCAGGAATAAGTATATCCTTACTGTCATACAGAGTGGAATGATAATAAAATCAAAGACACAATCCTGAGCTTGTGAAGCTCTGTAAGGAGAGACCAACATCAGCTAACTGGCTGGTCGACGGGCCGTCAGATGAAATTGCCGAGGATATAAATATAGACTTCGAGTAACCTTTGGCTGTTACACAAAGTACATCCAGCCTAGTTAATGACATCTTTCATGCTGCAAGAATTTTCTCTTGGCAGGGCTATTACGATAGTTGTCCAAAGATTGTTTTGTGATAGCTTATAAACTGACAGCTTAAGAGACATTTGTATTAGCTCCCAAATAGCTATTGGATTTTGGTGAGGAGCATGAGAGGCTTAACATAAACTGTGCTTACTTACAAAAATTGGAATCAGATATATGTTTGGAAGTAAGATAATCATAGCCTTAAACATTGTAAGAGCAACATGATTTAAGTCTTAAACTGCTTATTTGATTTTGGCAGAGTTTTCATAACCTGAGCAAACGCAGCAAAGCCTGTATCCACGCAGTACAGATTGCCCTAGCGTGCAGATCTGCCTACAGCAAGTCACTGGGGCACTCTCCTGGGGAGTGGGAGATCCAAATGCAATCTCAATCCGATGGGAGTGAGAGCATGCTCGTGTGCAGCAGGGTTAGTGCATGGTAAATCTGGTCAGCACTCTTTAACGTAGCTATGAGGATAAACTACCTCAAATTCCCTCACACCACAGATAACAGCATGTGTGACGGCAGCTACTGCGGCACAGCTTCTTACCTTCTGCTCTCTTCCTCTTCGGTAAAGGCAGCACAGCTCAGGGAGCTCATTCGGCTGGAAACTTGTCGTTTTTGGGGGTCAAGACGGCTTTCCTCTCAGTAACATCCTTGAAATGATATAAGTCATGGCTGCACAAGCACTGCTGCTGCAGGCTGCGTGTTCTGGGGCCGGTGTGAAGAGCTCGAGTGTTACACAGCTCAGATCAGTCTAAGCTGTCCAGAAACAGCGTTTTAAGTCCTGACAAAATCTCTCAAAGTAAATATTAAAAGGAGGCATTAGCATGATGCTTTTGTATCTGTGTCTGACTTGTCTGTGTGATAAAAGGCAGTCTTGGTTCATCAGAGCTGATTGCTGGTCTAGAGATACCACCTACTAAAAGTAACGAAATCTTGGTTTTCATAAAGTCGTGTTTTGCTTTCTGTTAGAGAGGAACCAGCAATTCACGGGCTAATACTTCATTAGGTAAAGAGTTAACACCCTCATCTTGAGATGCTTTGTTGTGTTAAATCAAGGAGGCAGAAACTAGTGATTAATTACAGAGAGATTACTCCTCTCTGGGCTTTCCAGG